GAGAAAATGGCTAAAGACCAAAAGGGAGCCAAAGAGAAATGTACCTATAACAATTGGTTAATTTTTTCCTATTTGATTTATATAGTTTTTTATTATGATTTTTTGAGCCTTAAATGTGCAATAATATTTTTTCTAATGAACTCTTGAAGGTTTATTAACTTATTTAATATTCTAGAAAACGTTACTGATTTTTTAGATGTTTGATTTGAAATATCTTAGTGATTAGCGAAATATCACTGAAATTTCTCCAACTCCACATGGCAAAATGTTTATCAATATCGATGTTATGAACCATGGGTGATACAATGCATAAAATGAGAAATCTTTTCAACTGTAGTTGGATTCTTTATATAGGTATATGATGAGCTGAGAAGCATAGCATGCAGGTTTTTCATATGGTGGATCGTGTTTGTAGTTAATTGCTTGAGAATTTCTTCTTAATTTTTTCTGTTGTATATCACCATTAACAATAACAATGCAGACATGTGTTCAATCATTTTGGGTTGGCTTGCTTAGAGATTCTATTTGGGAATTCATAGCATTTCTCTCTCTCTCTCTCTCTCACATACACACACATTTTGTTTTGCACTTGTTTGACAAGATTCAAAACAAACTATAGAAGTTGACACTTGACATTTACCACGGTTTTCTTTTTCTTCAGAATTTTCGTTTCAAAAAATTTTCTTTAAAGAAGTTACGAGGATTGCACTTTTCTTAGGTGTAATTTTTTGTCCTTTCAGAGATATGTCAAATTGTAGCATGGATGAGGATTGGACTTGTCTTAGGTGCATCACTTATCCACTGCAAGTACTCACAACAAAACATGGTTATTGAGAACTCAAAGTCTCAAAATGCAGCAATGTACTGTCAATCACTACGTGTGAGGCTAGAGAGGCATTCTTTATTCGGAATGCATAAATCAAGTTTAGAACTCCAATTGAAAGTCTGTAATACTAATCAGCTAATATTTACTGTTGCCTGTGTATCTGAAGCAAGTGTGTAAGTGCTTAATCCATAAAAAATTGTAATTGGAAAATAGGATACTGATTTGGAGAATTCAAGGTCACATACCCACACTGTTGACATGGTTGCTTTGAAGCTAGGGCCTGCCTAACAATGAGCCAAGGAATCTGTCTACTGCATCTCCCAACTGATGCTTTTATATATGCCCGTTTTCTATTTTCAAAAAGTTCAATAAGTTTTTCCTCTTTCTTTTCAGTGAATTGGTTATTGGAAGCCGAGAGGATTTGGTCAAGGATATTATTGCAGAACTACAGCCAGAGACATTGGTGAGGTAATATTTTATTTTCAATAGATTTTCTCTTGGTCCCTAACTGCCTTCTTTTTTTATTAGTTATTGGTGGTTAATCATACTTCATTAACTTCATTCCTACAATGCGTTTTCCTTTGGTGTTTAGATATTATGTTTCATAAAGCATACAAGAACCCATTCACTTTGTTTCTCAAAAAAAAAAAAAAATATTCACTTTCTTTTTTATTAGTGATTGGTGGCTAAACATATTTTCTGTTATTCATAAAAAAGCATATAATATTCAAATAGAAATCTGATCCAATGGATACTAGTTTAGTTTTCTTATTTTTATCTTTTTAATCTAATTTTTTACTTATTACTGGAAATGAGTTTGTTTAAAAGGCTTTATAGAAAATTTAAGTGAGTGCTACACACCAAACCTATGATAGCCTTCTGGAAATGAAACATTGTTTTTGCTGTTGGTATCAGAATCAGGAGAATTTTCCTGAATCAAATCGAAAATGTTTTCACTTTGCTTTGAGAAAACATGTCCAAACATGTTTTTTGTTTTTTGCTGATGTTGAACAAGAACACTTAAAAAGTTTTGGAGAACGGCAAGAAAGAAAAATATGGAGAACAGCACCTAATATTCAACTAGTTAAATCACTTCCCGATTATAAGCCAGCCTGTTTGTAGCCTTAACAGCTGTTCTCTGGTGTATGCTAGTAAGGAAGCTGTTTATGAACTTGGAAATGGTTACACAACTACCACTTAGGCTATGCTTGGTTTGAAGGAAAAGGTAGGGAAACCTTTGCAAATCTTATATAGGTTTTCTTGTCTTTCCCTTCCTTTTCCTACTTTTTCCTTCAAACCAAACACAGCCTTAAGTAGTCTGTATGTGGCATACATAATTCATCTTTTCTTATTTTATCTTGACTGTGGTCCCTGAATGCGCACAAGTATGTTTCTATAGTTCTTGAAACCAAGTTGCAACAAATGCAAGTGTGGTTATCAGTCTCGGGTTCTGGTAATCCATTGAGGTTGATTTGTGGTTTATGGAGTTTAGACACTTGGATTCTTGAGTAATTTGATCTGTATATTCCAAACATATTGACATAGGCAAGATTTTGAGAGCATAGGTTTTACTTGTTTGACAGGTTGTCTATTCTTTTCACAAATTGTATGTGTTTACAATGATCACATGCCATAGCTTAATCTATGGGCATTTTGAATAGGAGGCCTTTTTAATGGACATATACATGCTGTATTTTGTACCATCCAACATCCCAAAAGAATCTTGTACTAAATACATATTTCTATATTCACTTGTCATTAGGGGTGTTCTTGAAAAATCGAAAAATCGAAAAATCGAAAAAACAAACCAAACCAAGAAAACCAAACTGAAAAATGCAGTTAACCAAACCAATATATATATATATATGTCACAAACCAAATCAAAGAACCGAATCGATCAAAAACCAAAACTGGCGGACCGGTTAACTGATGGTACCAGTTCAATTTCAGTTTGGGGAAATGAAAAAACCAATGGTACTGGTTCAATTTGCAAAAACTGCCTATATTTCAATTAACCGAACAGTCCGAACCGTGGACACCCCTAGTTGTCATAGCTTAATCTATGGGCATTTTACTTCTTGGAGGAAAATGAAATGTTCTTTCCTGCAGGAATGGAGGACATATGTTTGCTTGGGACCTTCAGATCCTCAACCTAACTGGCACCTTGGGATGCGAGGTACTCAACACCGTTCTGTAATGTGGAGGGTGTGGAAAGGTGCGACAGGGTTTCTTTATTGAGGAGCGAACTGCTATGACAAGGCAACCGTTGCCAATGCTGAGGTGTTTATTTCTTTTCTGCTCACATTCTGCCCCTGGTAATTAGAAGATTGCATTTAAAAAGTACATATTCACTGATATGTCTTACAATGCAAAATGTGTTGTAGATAAGATTCAGGCGTGTTGATGGTGTCTTATTTTATCCTGGTGAAGTGTGCTCATCTTCGCATCAACTGGTAGCTTCCGTGAGGCTAGAGCGCATTCTCAGYGGTTTACAGGTACTCAATTTAGCTTATTGACGTTTAGATTCATGTTATACACGGTGGAAGCACATGTAAAAATTGCATTTTGGTGGTTCTGATAATCTTTTCTCCAACTATATACCTGCATGACTTTAACATCCAATTCAATTCACCAGCTGGTACTAGAGCGCATTCTCAGTCGGTCCCTTCTTGATTCTGTGTGTTCTGAACAGGATACCGAGTATCTGAAGCTGTATATTTTCAATATATGGTAGGGAGGCGGGGCTTGACCTTCTAGGGAAAACAGGTGTATATACTTGGGTCATTACGCACCTGACCACATGCCAATCAATGCGATGCGGGGTGAGATCTTCTGCACATGCCGGTCCTGAAGTGTTCATTAAAACGACACAATTTATTGCTCTTTTTTTTTTTTGTTTTCTATAGGATTAAACCAATATCCAATCCATTGGCAGAAGACGAGTATAAGGTGTCAATGGACCAGCTTTGGAACCAAGTTGACCGAATTGGATCAGTAGAGAATGGTCAGAAGTATTCATGGGATTGGATTGGACCTGTTCCATCTGTAATGAATTCATCTTGGATTAGATCAAATTGGACCAATATCCGGTCCATTGACAGCCCTACTTTCATGCATTGACTCAGGCTCAGTTTGGAAAGAGTACAAATACAAATATGTACATTGCAAATGCATACAAAATAATATGAAATACATGGATTTGCACTCTACATGTTTGTATTTGTACTCTTTTCAAACGGAGCCTCAGTGAATGATGTCTGTTTGTGCACTTCTCCTTGCATGAAACCCAGGAAAATGACAAAACAGCGTGTGGTGGTTAAAGGGAAGCATGCTGCAAGGCTGGTGAGATTTGGGAGATGATCCCAAATCCCAACTCATTTAAACATGATGATTCTCTTTATCAATTTCAGAATTAAAATTGGTGTACTACTCTTTTAAAACCACAAAATGAATAATTTAGTGTAATAGTGTCCATCCTATTATTATAATCTTAGAAAAGAAAAATATAAAAATATTATATAGCACTTTGTACAAAAAAAGTTAGGTGCTTATGCGAAGCAACCCTCCATGGGCGTTTGGTTGCCTAGGTGTCACCTTCACAACCATATTTGTAGGTAATTTCTTTTTTGAACAAGCACTAAATTGAGTTTTTTTTTACATGTGTCCTCTTTTCCTTCTATGTTCTACTAAGGTGTGATATCTTCTTTTGTTATCTCCCTATCCTATATTTTTCTTCTCTACTTCATAACTAAACCCTTTTTTTTTTATAATAACTAAGATCCTCAATCCTTTCTTTACCCAATATGTGCACCATAGGACTTTTCCTTCTTGTCCTGCATCAACTTAGTACATTCTCAGTAGCACCAAATCCAAATTTTTATCTCATGAAGCAAAGGAAAGGCCAATCCCACATAATCATATGCCTTTTCTAAATCCAGTTTGCAAATGAAACTGCTTTTTTCCTGACATATTCGGATCTTCACACACTTAGAAGCTGGCCCAAGATTTGCCTGCTTCTAGCAAAACACCATGGTAGTAGCTCCATATCTTGGAGATGATTTTAAATAGACAAAGTTTATGCAATCGACGGAAATAGGATTGAGACCATGCAAAAGTAGCAGCCAGATGCAGAAAAATAAATATATAAAGAACCTCATGGAGGCTTCTTTAGGGCTAGATAAAAGTGCAAAACTTTGATTCAATGAATAGTCCAAAGTCTGCGCCCAAGTTCAAATTATACAATTTACATGCATGAAAATACTATTCCAAGTAACAAGTATTCTCCAGAAACATCTTTCAGCTATTAACAGAACATCACCACGTGATTTCAAGGCATAGGAAAGTAAGATGAAGATAATAAAAATTAATCAATAATCATAGAAGTTTCAAATTCACTAGATAATAAACACATTAGACAGAACGGAATGGCATAAGACTTGATGATGATGAATAAACACATTAGACAGAAGAATACTATAAACTTTACCTGCAAACCTTTTGAGTACAGAAAAGTTCCCGCAGAGCCTTTGGCAGAGCTTCTCGAGTTTCATCTGACTTTTGCACTTTGATCAGCATTAGAAGAAATTCTAGGTCTATTAGTTGTATTTTGCTTCATTGCAGGTCCACCTTTCACAGGTCGGTGCATCAAGTCTTTGATCTTATTTTCTCGAATTTCCCAACGGTGTTGTTGTCCTCTCACTATATCTGGAAATTTTTTTATAAACAACAAATCTGTAGGCTCTTTAAATTTCCAGTCTTTGAAAGAAGGCCTTTCAATAGCCAATGAATTCAAAACACGCTTCAAAGTATCTCTGGAAAGTCCTGTCTCATTTAGCTTTTCATAGCTGATTAGTGGCCCCTTGTTAAAACAAAGAAGAACATAGTCTCTAGCTAAAGCTTGAACTCCTTCACATAACAATGCACTTTTCGTGACCCACAATCCCTGTACTAAATCAGCATATCCCTGAAGGACTGCTAAAAGATCTTCATCGGATTTATCAGGGGCAAAGTGCTTAAGGGCAGTGAAGCGATACACTTGAGTGCCCTATAATGAAGAAATAGTGATCAGAATAAAATGATAACCAGATCAAGCAATATTAATAGAGAAGATGCCTAGTAGAAGATTTGAAGTTCAATTAGTCATAGTAAGATAAACAACATGAGAATCAGAATAATGGGAATAACTTTATATAACGAGTACCTGCACTAATTAGAATAACTACTTGTGAATGAAGTTAAATGTAAGGCTTATGATGAGCTTTACCATAAAATAGGCACTAAAGAGAGAAAAAAAAGTAATGTATAAACTAGCAAAGCTAAGAGAAAGGAAAGGCAGAGATTTAAACCTTGTTAGATGTCCAGAAAATGAATGTGGCAGAAATGTGAACGCTAAAATGGATGAATGGAAAAACTGGAAAGGATAGGATTAGGAATGAATTTATTCATAGGAACCTAGAGTAGCTACAATAGGTGATAAAATGAGAGAGACTAGACTAAGAAGGTTTGGGCACGTGCATAGAAGGCCACCAACTGCGCTAGTTAGAAGAAGTGATTTGTTACCACATTGAATGGGCTAGAAGAGCTCGGAGTAGACCAAAAAGGACATGGGTAGAAGTAGTAAGAAATGATTTAAGCACTAATAAATTAACAGTGGAAATGGCTTTAAATAGAATGGATTGGCGAAACAGGATTCATGTAACCGACCCCATATGATGATGATGAATGCCATTGCAGTTTCATAAGAGAACCAAAATGTACAATGCTCTAATAGCAAGAAATATTAACAAATTTCACCAAATAATTCACTTGCCAGAAACGTGAACCACAACAGCCATAAATATGTCAACTATCATTTCTGGCACAAGCATAAAATACATATCTGTAGTATGAATTCCAAGTGATTTCAAACCTTGGAAAGGAATGTTTTGAACCTCTCCTCCAGTGGCAATGAAAGCAAAAACCTGTAGCAACATCCATTCACTTGAGACAATATTCTGAACCATAGAAGGACAACAGAAATAATTGGGTGGAAGAAGCATAGGAGACATTGGAACTCAACATCTCCAACATCTGCAATTTTATCATGAGCAAAATGCTTGCAAACTGACATGAGCTGCAGCATAATTACCGGCTTACTAAAATGGTAATGAAACTAAAGAAGATCAAAGTCAGATGCAGAAGTTTTACAAAAATAAGAAAAAAATGAAGGTTACAAGCACATGCACCAGAAAGAAAGCAAAGGGTCAAAACAACCTCAGATAGGCACGCAGAAACCAAAAATGAAAGGCTATCCAAAAGGAGCAAAGAAAAATAAAGGAAAAGAACTTCCAATGGAGCAGTCCCCCAATAAGCAACTTGTCATAACCAGACCTCTAACAAGACTGTTTGTCAGCCACAAGCTGATTTGAGAATCCATCTGAACAACATATTCAGTCCAGAAGAATTATCAAAAAAAAATTCAGTCCAGAAGTCAAGCTTCAACTGGACCTTATCCTAGAGCTATTTGGAGTTGGCACCATAAATAGTGACTTCATGTAGCCGACCCCATATAGTTGGGATAAGGCATGGATGATGATGATGATGAACCTAAATAGTGACTTCCTCATTTCTTTTATCCAAAAATGTGAGGAGAAGCAAATCAACTTGCAGTGCACACTCAGGATACTATCAGATGGCAGAGCAATTGATATGCAGCAGCATATGGGATTTTACAATAAGTAGAAATACATTGAGGTGGAAATTAGGAAAGAAAGATGAAAAATAGCTGGCTAAATTGTAAAAACGTTGAATTGCGATTTCAGCAAGAAGACATTGGAGAAAGAAAAACATTCATAACGTCGGATCAAGAAAAAATGCAATGAATAAAAAAATGAAGTGACAAGAGAGAGAAGATATTAACGAGAAAAAATATGTCAGGGGAAAAAGAAAATGAAAACAAGAACATCAATCCATCTCTTGTATTGCTAAGGACCTGCCATGCCTGTGTGTGCGGGGGCAGATGTTTAGTTGGGTATCTGGTTGATCTTTTTTCTTGAAGATAAGTAAAAATAAAATTTATTCAATAAAGAAGAACAAGGTACAGAAAAGGTGATGAGAAATCACCCATCCCCGAAGAAACAGAAAAAAACAACCCATAAGCTGATGCAAATCAAACTCTAACCATCCTTCCTGAAATACAATAGGGAAAAGCACTAACCCCAGACGTAAACAACAAAACAGGGGAAAAAACACCAAACTACAAAGCCCAAATGTCTAAGGAGGAAGAGCAGAATGAGGAAAAAACAGCCTCTGAGAAAAGACTCCAAATCTACTAGAGCATACCACCTGCACCCAAAAAGAGCATAGAACCACTCCCTAATGCTAACAACAAATTGGCAAGAGATCGATAGGAGACAAGCATCAAGAAGGTTTTCTTCTTTGAAGCATTTCACATGTGTTAATTTTTTGGTGGTAAACCTCTCAATAGAAGGTCTTAATTTTGGGTCGCACCAGCCTACTCCAATTTCATTCATTGGAAATGTCTACAAGGTTTTTTCTTTTTTTTTTTGTGGTGGTAAACCTCTCAATAGACGAGACTCTAAAAAAGGGGTCACAAGTGAACATCTCTACGGAGTTAACAAATCAAATTCTGCAATCAGGTCCACAGAAATAAAAGAAAATCAAAAGAATTAATTAAATCCAAGGCAGTACATGTTTTACAATCCCTAAGGCCTCTCTTAAAACCCAAGTCCCATGAAATTCCAAAATTAATCAAAGAAGTAAACTAAGAGAAGGAAGAGGCCTTCTCCCCCACCACAAGCCTTTCCAAAACATAGTTTTATCTCTAGATTAAACATCAGAATGAAAATGACACAAAAATGAGGAGCAAATCAGTAATGGCTTTCCAATGAGAGAAGGAAGAGGCTAAGCAATGGGTGAATAGAAATAACTTGTATTGGGTTCAAATGTAATGTGTAACTTATCTGTTTGTTGGGAGAGCTAGCATCCTGTGCCTCTCCAAGGGATGCTTGTATCATTGGATATTTATTGATTAATAAAAAAAATATTTTCCTTATAAAAAAAACGAGAGAAGAAAGATGCACTTGCAGTTAAACCAGCAATCCCAAATATTAGCATGCATGATGCAACCCACGGATGCTATCCACTACATTATGCCAAAACTTATCGAACTCAATTGGGAATCTCCATAGCCATTTCCTCAACAAGCCTGAGTTTCTAAGCCCCAACCTACTACCCACTCCCATTACTCTCAATCCTCCTAACTCCTTCCTACTACATACAATTGTGCAATCATTGATATTTTTTTTCTTTGATTGGAAAATGATAAAACTCAGATCTGAACCAGAATTAGTTTGTTAATAATAGAGAAGAAAGATAGAAGAGAGAAGAGAGAAGAAGAGAAAAAGAGAGGAGAAGAAGGAGAAAAGGCCTGTTTGAACTAGAGAGCCAAAAGAGCTTGTTTCTCTAGTCGGCCAGGTTATATTTATAATTTTCTATATTAAAAAAAATGACTTTTGGGTCCCTACTTAAGTATGGGGCGCATCACTTTACTTAAACATTACACCTCAGACCAAACATAAATAAGAAAGACCAAACTGCCCCTATAAAGTTGACACTAACACTCCCCCTCAAGCTGGTGAGTATATATCATATAATCCCAGCTTGTTACATATGTAGTCCACTCTTCCCCGACTCAACCCTTTGGTGAACAAGTCTGCCCATTGACTTCCTGTGTTAACATATGCAGTATTTGTTACTCCACTAAGTACCTTCTCTCTCACAAAGTGACAATCAACTTCTTTATGTTTTGTTCTCTCATGAAAAACTGGATTAGAAGAGATGTGGACTGCAGCTTGGTTGTCTCAATAAAGCTTTATAGAAGTGTCAATTGAGTACCCCATCTCCTATAGGAGGTTTCTCAACCACATTAGTTCACAAATTGTATGTGCCATGGCTCTGTGTTCAGCTTCCGCACTACTTATTGCCACCACTATCTACTTCTTACTCTTCCATGTCACCAAATTATCCCGAAGAAATGTACAATAACCTGTAGTGGACCTTCTGTCAAATACAAAACCAATCCAATCAGCATCAGTGTATCCTTCTATTTCAAGATTTCCTCCACTCTTGTATAACAAGCCACAACCAGGAGCTCCCTTCAAATACCATACAATCCTTAGAACTGCATCCCAATGTGGAACCCGAGGATTTTGCATAAACTGACTCAACACACTAATTGCAAATGAAATACATGGTCGAGTAATGGTTAGGTAGTTTAGCTTACCCATCAACCTCCTGTACCTTCTGGGATCTTCAAACTCCTCACCCACATCACTACCCAACTTGGTATTTGGTTTCATAGGTGTTTCAACTGATTTGGCACCTAACAATCATGTCTCCTCCAACAAATCAAGAAATGTTTTAATTTACCAAGGTCCTTTGTTTGGAAATGCTCCTACAGAAAGGTCTTTAGCCTATCAATCCCCAATTTGTCATTGTCGCTAATAACAATGTCATCTACATATACCACCAGTAAAATCTTCCCAGCATGTGAATCATAGCTGCATACTGAGTGATTACTGAATCTACCAAACCACGCACAAGGGGACTATTTAAATCCACAAATGGCCTTCTTTAGTCTACACACCTTACCATCCTCCCCCTGAGCAACAAACCCCGATGGTTGCTCCATATAGACCTCCTGAAGGAGATCACTATGTAAGAAGGCATTCTTGATGTCAAGTTGAAACAGAGGCCAATCATACATAGCAGCTAGAGATATCAAAACACGAATTGACCCAATTTTAGCAACAGGAGTGAAGGTCTCTGTGTAGTCAATACCATAAGTTTGGGAATATCCTTTGGCAACCAGTCGAGCTTTCAACCGCTCTACACTACCATCAGGTAAATACTAACAGTGTATACCCACTTACAACCTGCAACATGCTTACTAGGGGGAGCGTGGTGAGATCCCACGTATGATTATGAGCCAAAGTTGAAAGTTTTTCCATTGCATGGCGCCACCCTGGAGAGGCAAGGGTTTCCTGGACATCCATAGGAACAGAAATAGAAGACAACAGATAAACAAACTGGCGATGGGAAGCAAAAAGGTGAGATAGAGAAACATAATTGGAAATGGGATGAAGTGTGCAACTGCGTTTGCCTTTCCGCAAGGCAATAGGAAAATCAAGGTCTGAAACAGGAGGTGGGGCTGGTGTGGGAACAACTGTCGGATCTGTCGACAGTGAAGCTGGTACATATCGTTGATGCGTATACACTTGGTGGATGGGTGGCCGTTCAATAGGAGGCTGCACTGGAGGCAAAGACTTAGTCACGACCGGAACAAATGGAATGGGGTCCTCAATAGGAATTGGAAGAGGAGGTGGAGAAGAAGAAGAGACATCACCTGACCCAGAAAAAAAAATGGATCAAACTCAAAGAAAATAACATCAGGACACACAAAGGAACGTCATTAACTGGGTTATAACACATACCCATTCCGGGTCTGGGAATAGCCTAGGAAGATACACTTAGTGGATCGTGCATCTAATGTCCATTCCATGTCTAAGATTATGAACAAAACACATGCACCCAAAAACCCTGGGAGTAAGAGGGAATGGGGACGAGGTAGAAAACAAAGTGGTGAAGGAGAATGACCTTCAAGGATGGCTGTAGGCATCTGGTTAATGAGGAAGCAATATGTAAGCACAACATCAATCCAAAAACATTTGGGTACATTCATATGGTGCAAAAGGAATCGAGCAATTTCCAAAAGATGGCAGTTCTTCCTCTCAGCCACCCCATTTTGTTGTGGGGTGCAGGTACATGAGGTCTGATGGATAATGACATGTTCTAAATACTCTTGAAAGGGTGTATAAAAGTATTCTCGGCCATTATTAGAACGAAAGATCTTAATGTGTACACCAAATTGGTTGCGGATTTCAACATAAACTTTTTGGAA